TTTACCGCTGATTACAGAACCGGCTTTCTGACAAGATGCGCATTAAATATCGCATGCGATTTATCGTGCAGCCCTAGTTTTTAGTTACTGTCTGATCACATAATGAACCAAGAAAGAGATGTTAAAAATCATGGTCGATGTCACTTCTGGTGCATTAGTCACATTCAAAATATATTGTTATATAAGATTACTCATACCGTGATATGAGATTTTGTCATACCGACCACCCTACAGGAAATATAGTACATCTACATACATTTGTATTCATGCATTTGGCAGATGTTTTAATCAAAAATGACTTACAAAGCATTCAAGGTTGCATTCTGCCAGTAATGAGTAGTATGGTCATATGCATATGCAACATACTAATATCATTTGCAAAACTTCCCATCTGTAACTAGACTAACCCAAACTCTGAAATACACCTTTTGAAAATGAACAAATAAAAAATTTAATAAAAATGAATAATAATAGAATAGAATAGAATAATGAAATTTTGCATGCCTGAAATAAGGTCTGTGGCGAACGCAAGCTCAAGATATATTCATGATGTGTTCTACAACACAAAATACATCAGTAAAGCCTTCTTTTTTTTTTTTACTTGTCTTGAAGAAGGTGGTTACTAATACGTGTCTAAATGGGACTACAGAGGTTGTCTGGGACACTAAACGTCATCAAAGCGAACAGATAAACTCATCTACTCACTTTCACAGCCTTGTTGTGTTTATAATCATGTTCTTGCAAAGTATTCTAACTCAGACTTTCAGGGGGAAAGTTCTTGATTGACAAATAAGATTGAGACATAAGAAGGCAACTCTTTGCACAGTGTGAGACACTGTCGAGATCTCTTCTGAAACTCTAGAGGAGACATGTGATATTGCATCTAAGAAGCACAAGATCTCAACATAAATTTCCATTTAATTTCATTGCTGTTTGGGAAAAAAAAGAAGAGATATTAAATAAATTACATTTGGGTTCTTTCCTTTCGACAGGCCATTTGAAAGGTCACACTGAATATATTAGTGAAAACAGCAGTATCAATCCAGGGTAAATTATATGAATACGTATACTTAGTATTATAAAAATAAAACCTAACTGTGATACATTTTGATACTTCTGCAAAATGATGTCAGAGTGAAACTTTTAAAAGTTATTATATGAAGTGGCTGAATGGGAAGGGATGAAAATAAGAGTTGAAATTAAGTCATCCGAATGCAAAAGTCTTACTAGAGGTGAGGCATTAAGTTTCCGATATGATCAGAAAAAGTAAATAGGATCAATTTTGATTTTCATGTTGACTAAACAAATTATGCATGTAAACTATGTACTACATTATGGCATTAAAAATAACACATTTTGGAGTAAGGAGCAGTCAGCCTTGATTAAAATGGATTCTGGGAAGCAGCCCATAATGTGAGTGCTCAGAAACTCCTCCAGGTCCATGTTAGCAGCATGTTTTGCCCAGGAGGGCTGAAGGCATGTATGGCAAGAGTATTGAGAGCATCTCTGAGTCTCTGGAGGCTTTTTCTCAGAGGGAGAGAAATAACATAATGTGTTTAATCCACTTACACATCTGAGTCTAAACACACACACAGACACACGTGCGCACACACGCACACACACACACACACACACACACACAGTATATAAACTCCAGACACACCACAGGAAAACTAATCGCATTTAATTAGTAATATTTTCCTTTTTTTTTTTTTTAAGAAAATAAAAATTTTATTCAGCAAGGATGCTTTAAATTGATCAAATGTGACAGTAAAGACATTTATAATGTTACAAAAGATTTGTTTCAAATAAATGCTGTTCTTTTCAACTTTGTATTTAGAGAGATTCAGAGAATCCTGAAAAATGTATCATGGTTTCCACATTTTAACATTGATAATAAAAATGTTTCTTGAGCAGCAAATCAGCATATTAGAATGATTTCTGAAGGATCATGTGACACTGAAGACTGGAGTAATGATGCTGAAAATTCAGCTTTGCATCACAAGAATAAATTATATTATAAAATATATTCAAATAGAAAACTGTTATTTTAAATTGTAATAATATTTCAAAATATTACTGATTTTGCTGTATTTTTGTTTAACACCAGTAGACACATAGCTGGAGGGTTTAAACATATACATAAAGAATACTCAGGGATACTCGCTCAGAACATGCAATAATGTGTGTGTGAGTGTATATATATATATATATATATATATATATATATA